TGTAATAACAAAAATCATCATATACACATCTCCCAATCTTTTTATGACATACAGAAATAGGACAGGAAGTTAACCTTGAACCTCTCTTTTTCTCCCTGAAAATATCCTGAATAGCCTGCAATAGTGGTAAACAACGTAACATGTACTGCAAAACACACTGGCTATTTAATTTGACAATTCTTTGAATTTAGTCTTTGTTTACATATGTCATTATACCCAATCCCTTGTTGAACATGTTTAAAAATAAAAACATAAAATGACTAATCAGGCGACATACGTCGGGATCAAAAAACCCAGGTGAATATTTTTATCTGTAAAAGTTTAACATGTGAATTTTTAATATCACCCAGCTATACCCAAGTTTAACTTTCTATTTGAATTTGAGTTGAAATTGGATTCAGATCTATTCATTCTGTTTATTGAAATTGTAAACATCACATCTCATTTAAAGAGCACCCTGTTGATGACATCTACATGATAACCATAAGTTCACAAGACCTACAATATAATTAATTTGTTGTTTGCAATATATTTATAGGCCATATGGTACACATCTTCTTCCTCTATTTATTTTTCCTGCTAAATCTATTAATAAAGTTAAAACATCTTTCTTGTCTAGACAAACTGAATGTCCTCTTTTTTTAACATGACAAACAACATTATGTGATATTTAATTTTATGTTGTGGCAAGATTCTTCCATTAAATAACTGATACTTTAAATGATTGGTATAAACAAATTATTTTTTTCTATGCCAGTTTTTTCTTTTCTTTTTACCACTATAGCCATTACCCCTGACCAATGAACCTGCTTCGCATATTGGCTGTCACTGGTATAGCCAGTGGCAATATGTCTTCATTTGGAAGGTGACAAACCGTTAAGCGTAAGTGCCACATCTTAATCTACAAATATTGTCACACGAAAGAACCCAGTATAATACTCTTTTTATCTCACCAATTACATTACTGTTTTATCTGTACTTCATAGACCTTTTCAATTTTTTTTTTGGTATAAAATGTGAAGAATTTAAAAAGATTATGAAACTTCAATGTTTCAAGGACTTTTAAAGATTTAAGAACTATTGGTTAAATAATTTTATAATTCTGAAAAGCATTATGGGATCAAATTTAATTTGCCTCAATCTGTCCATTTTCTGTCTCTGACAATACTTGTTCTCTTTTCCTGACAAAAAGGCGTAGTGTATACAAAAAGATGAGTCACTGAATTGATTCCAGCATAAAGGACACAGCTCACAATCATGATCTTATTCTAATTTTGACAACTAGAATTCAGTTGTTATACAATGCCTTCCATGTTAATATCTGTGCTTTTTTCACCACTTAATGTGAAAGTTTATATTTGCCTTATATACTCTTTAGTACAAAATTATACTCATAAATGTAGTTCTTAGTGAGCAGAAAATGGAGGGAGATGCAAATGAGGAAAGGTGGTATTTTCAGAAAAACAACTTTAAATCTTTAAGATCTACAACTTATCAATTAGGGAGATGTTTGGCCGCTATTGGCGAGTGGATAATCCTTCAATGGCCACATTCACTGACACTGTAGGTAAAAACCGAAAACTCAGATAACCGTGTACAGGTGAAACTCCGAAATGTTAGCCTTGGCGATAAAAGCATTACCCAGAGTGCATTTCTTTCATTTGTGTCAACATTCATAGGTGTGGACACCTTATACAACTTCATCAAAACAATTATTTTAACATTAAAATGACAGTACATCTCCATATATAAGATGCTCATTTCCCAAGATGAAAGAAAATATGACAATACGAATTTCCCATGCAAATAAAAAAGTTAGTGGCACATGTACGTGTAAAAAATCGAAGATTATGTTCTTGAGTAGATTAAAAGAATTTATATCCCAGTCTCAGCCAAACCACATACCAGTCATTATGAAGAAGGATGACCTTATAACCCCAGGTCCACTATAGCATACTAAATAGTGCAAATATTAAAGGAATCTAAGCTATGGACAAACAATACACCTCTGACTGAAGAGAGTTTCTAATGTACATGATGTATAATGTTATCTTCACTTTACATTGACACAAGACATTTTCGAATTCAATAAAATTTTGATCCCTGCAATCTATCGTGAGGCAGACCCAGATCTTCTCTGTTCAGTGCTTCTGCACACAACACTCTGAGGCAGATCCATACAAACCAAGGGTTTATGCTTTATTCAAAGCATCAAATCTATACTGTAGAAGACAATGTTATACCAGTACACCATGTAATCATGACTTCATTTGTAGTTTTGGCCCATGTGATTGTCAGAATATGTCACAATTCTATGATACAAGTGTAAACCGAAAGAACACGATGGTTTCTCAATACTCTGTCCTCTGTCTGGCCAATATGATTGAATTTAGCCAACCTCTTATTACTTGTTTATAACACTCATAAGGACATAATTTCAGGCATAAAACATGGTGTTACATGTCCTCTAATACATTATTATGTGTACTTTATCTATAAAACCTTTTAGGTGCAAATATAAAACCCTTGTATAACCAACAGTCTGCTTAGAGTAATAAAGAAATAATTGGTCAACATGGACAATAGAGACAATGAATTATCTAACTGCCAAAGACTCAGGTCTGTTACATGAAAATCAGTACATATATCATAGAAACACTGTACACATATATGGGATTATGTGTTACTATTAATTGACAATATAAAAGTATTGGTGTTTCATTCCTTTTGTAAAATGCCATCAAAATGTTCTTTATAATGGTAAATCTTCATTCTTTTTTTTTTTACTTCCTTCCACTTGAATTTATATGTCATAAAACATGTTCAAAGTAAAACCTTGCCATTCATTATGTTAATTGAGTCATCAACATAATTAATAGCCACCAAATTAGTGTAAAGAGATCACTCACTTGCAGCTTATGGAACCATTTCTCTAGTGAATTCTAAATTTTCTACAATATCATGACTAACACTGACTATACAGTATACATGTATAATATTGATTGTGGAAACTGGGTTGACTTTCCACTTGAGAAATGATGCATTAATCCTTGTGCACAGAAAGCAACAGCAATCACCGAATGATTACATTAAAAGCAATCTCATAAGAAGTGAATCTTCAATTCTATAAATGAAACCTGAATCTTAAAATTATATGAACACTTTTACAAATGTCATTCAAGCTAATTTGGATCAGTAGGACATTGTCCATTTCATAGGTTAACAGATGTACTAACTCTGTCCACTGTAAGTACCTGGCTTAAAGACCAGCCTAACAAATTACCTGGATTACATCAAGTTACAGACGTAATATGTTTCATGTCATTGTGCACTTAAAAGCCTTTTAGACTTCAAGGGCGTCCCCTAATTTGCCTTCATCTGTGTACCTCACCACATCCGTTAACAGCTGAACTTGTAACTTTTAACTAACAATGGTTCACAACTAGAAGCTAAATAAATCATAAAATGTGGGTTTAAGTTAAATCTTTTTAAACTTTAAAGTAAGAAAAGAATTAACGAAAATACGATTCATTGACTTTCATAATTACACACAAAATGAACTTGTTTAGAAGCATGTTTGTGCAAGTGATCTTGTTCACAAAACTTTGCATTTCAATGCCTTTCAGTTGATAAGATAGATTAAAAATACTGAATATAGAGTTTTAGCATCTAAGATCACTGACCCTTTGAAATGCTAGTTTATCAACTTTGTAATAAAACACTACTGACTTCTGCGTCTTCATTTTCAAATGAACTAAAAATTATGTACAAATGACATTCTCCATTTCCAGTTTTGTGTGTCCATATACATATGTATTCATAAATGTTTAGGAATTTAGAAATCATTAAGGCCCACTACCATGCAAGTGATTATATTATAACCAGAGGTCCCAAAAGAACATGAGCAAAACATTTTAATTTTTGTTGTTGTCATGTCATGACTATGCAAAAAGGTATTTCATTAAGTAGGATTATTAATATTAAGGTATTCATGGTCCCCACACGAACCAGCAAACTTAAACTTGTGTTTGGTGTGTTACTATTTTTTGAATATGTATACAATGTCATATTTAAGTAGTCCTGTGTTATCTACCAGATAACCCAAAGCTGATAAAAACTGAATTCAGTGCCAAAATTGTGCATATCGGGTCAAAATTTATATAAGCAAATGGTGCATATTGATGGCTAAATACAGACTTTTCTATATACACAAGGTGCATAAACACAGTGGGAGATGCATTCTTGTCAGAGGTCAACATGATTTGTGTTCATTTGTTCACCTTTTCAAAGCACATAAACATGATGAACTACATGTGTGTTAAGTGCTAAATATGTTTTGAGACTGGACCATCCTCAAGAAAAAAAAAATTGTATATTTTCCTGTTCTTAACCATGTGCGTTAGAACAAATATGGTTTATTTATGAACCACTCAATCTAATTATCATCAATTGTGCACTAAATGTAAATATTAAGTACTTGTAGTGAACATAATATTTCTATCCCGTCTACAGTGGGATATTGAGAGATCCAATGTTTTCTCTGAATGTTACCATGGATGAGCCTCTTATCAACTTAGAAAAAATGACAACAAGGAAGTCAGTGTGTGTCCCCTAATACATCTACAGATAAATCTTTTATCTCCTGTGGTTGATACTGGTCCCTCTCTTTTAAAAATATATGTTGAGACAAGCTCAAGGGGTTTTTTCAAGTTGTATTTAGAGAACATATGAAGTGTGAATTCTTCACATTCTTCCTTATAAGTTTTATGTATCAAGACATAATAAACTTTATATCATCCAATACTTAATCAAATATATGTCACATTCAACACTTTATCTAACACAATGCATATATTACTCATTGTGACCAGCCAACTAATGAGTTATAAAAGCCATCAACATCAGCTGACAAGCTGCTTCCACTTAAGTTTCAGCTGTAACTAAATTTTTCTCTCATAAAAAGTTTGGGAAAATTAAAAGTGGATGCAACAAAACCTTACCGAATGCCCACTCCTGCTTTTCTTTAGTGGCTGTGTATCAAGGCTGACCCCTGCCCCTACAAACACAATGTTACAGGGCTTGATCTTGGTTGGGATGTAACCTTCCTGGTATGGATGATTCTGTTCTTCTGTCACGAGGTCACTGAGGTCCAGGGGTGGGACACCATTCACTTTGGGTTGGACTTTCGGCACAATGCTGCTGGAGTCAAAAAGAGCAGCGGGTTTGTCTCGATTCTTTCGAATGAGATCTTCAATGTTTCTGACTGGCACATTAGTGTTTGAGTTTTGGGATTCACTGGGACTAACTGAGTTTGGTGTATTTGGCACAGAGGGGCTATTTGAGACTTTTACAAAAGATTTATTTCTTAATTGACTTGGTTTTACCAAATTTTGTGGACCATCATCATCATCACTAGACTCAGCTTTATCATTTTCCTCCATACTGCTGGAAGCATTTTTCGAATTCTTTTTCAGTCTATTTGCTATCACTGATGGTAACCCCCTTGTAGGGGTATTGTCATTACTTGAGGACACTTCAATGGGAGTAAAATTGTTAACTTTTTCTGTTTCTTCTTTAATCTCCTCTTTTTCCACCTTACTTGATTTGGTGGAGGTTTTTTGTTGAGTCTGCCAGGGAGCAGGCGAGGATTCTGAGAGTTCTGTAATCTGTTTTGGTTGAGTACGCGGCGTTATGGGAGATGAGGTTTGGAGACTGGACACAGTATTTGTAGACTCCTGCTTCTCAGGTACTACACTAGAAGTGCTTACAGACGGAGGATCAATTACAGAGATTTTAACTACATCATTGACCACTGGATCGAGACTTTTTTCCACAGGCATTGATGGAGCAGGACTTTTCACAGTTACTGTAGATGGAGAACTTGCTGGTGGTTTGGGGGCTCGCTTTTTCTTAGACATGTTGGAAATTGTGGGACTTGGAGAAATCTGGGAAGACTCAAATATTTGCTTCCTTCCAGGAAATATTTCCTCAGAAAGAGTTGATTTTGGAGAAGGTGATCCAGTTTTATCATTAACTGTATTAACCAAATTCTCCTTTGAGTCTTGTCTTGGACTTTTGGGAATAATGGAGGAATCAAATATTTCTTTTCTTCCTGGGAAATATTCATTATTCTTTGCAGCTTTATTTGCTAGACTTCTACTTTTTTCATTCTGAAAATTTTTATCATTAACCATGTTAACAGGTTTTAATTTCACAAATATTTTTTCTTCAGTTTTTACATCTCTTTCACAGCTAGGCTCAGATGAGGTCTCTTCTACTTTTGTTGTTTCCACCTTACTCTTCTGTAAGTTACTTCTTACAATGGGTTCAACTTCAGATTTAATATTGAAGTCCGAATCAAAAATTGACTTCTTTTCAGGATAGGTTTTTTTTCTGGTAACTGGTGAATCCAAAATTCTTGGTGTTTCTTGGGCTCGCTCTTTTATTGTACTGGGTTTTACTAGCATTTCAGTCTTTTCTGCTTCTATATCCTTTGGTTTTTCTTTCTTCACCTCTGGTGACTTGTTGATGGGGGAAGAGATAGGAGAACCCTCTACAGCTTCCTTGTGATTCACTTTTAGTTTACTGGGTTTACTTGGTTTCGGAGGTACTACCTTTGGAGCATCTGGAAGAAGCTTCCTTGAGACTGATGTATTGTTCTTCTCAAACATGGATCGAAAAGATGATACTGTATTTGGCTTTGGTAGCTCATCAGGAACTTTTTTGTCTTTCAGAGCCTTGACTGTCTTACCATTCATTTTTGTTGGTGTTTCTTCTTTTTTTGCTGGTTTTGGGACTGGTGAGGGTTTGGGGTGTTCAATTATAATGATGTCATTCCGTCCTATTTTGTTAATGTCTGGAGCCTCATGTTCTGAATGTAAAGGTTTGTGTTGCTTTTGTTCAATCACAGAATCACTCGCTTTCCTTTCAGTCCTTCCTTTGGGAGGTTTGGGTGGTTTTGGCAAATCAGGTTTTCTCCTGACATAGTTAGAATCTTGTTTAAGTGTTCTGGATTTGTTGGAACTAAAGGGTCGTGTCCTTTCCTCAAATGAAATCTTTTCAGAAGTTTCCAACAAATTTTCAACACTTGCAAATTTTCTGGCTGGAAATCGATTGACACTAGCTTCCCTTTGATTAAGTGATGTGAATTTCTGTCGAAGTTTATTCACAAATCCTGAATTAACACCATATTCAGCACCACTTTCTAAGTCACTTTCATCTTGTAATGAATTTTTTCGCTTCTGTTGATCATCGTAGATTTTTCCGTGTGGATGGGACAATCCACAGTGAAGAAAAAAGGGATTACTATGCACATGCCGTAAGTGACTTGTGATTACATTTCCTGAGGGACCATCATCCGGAGATGAGTTTTGTAATGTATCTTTACCCATTTTATTTATATCCTGATTATCGTCACAATTATTTCCGTTCAACTTATCAGTAGAGCTTCTTATAGCGAGATCCTTCCTGGTGCCCAGTTTTTCGTTACCAGACAGGCCGTCCTTGTCGTCCGAAAGAGAACGTTTGAATGAAAGAATGTCCCTTCTCCTCGTGGGTGGAATGTCAGAATTGATCTGTTGTCGGCTGTCAGTTGAATCATTCAAATCGTCTGGATCCAAATAAAAATTTCGAGTTACTGTGTTTGGCATCCATTGACTTACAGAAGCCATCTCACAAACTTGTGTCATGGGAACAAAAACCAGGGTAATTCATCGGTTCTGTTGTTGTAGAATCCCTCTTTTCCGGATACACCTCTGCACTCTGCAAATATCAGGGCCGGGGTGACGTCACTGAACAGCAAGTGCGAGCTGAAGAGGTTTTCTTGTACAAAAAAGAAAGAAAAATAAATCGATTTTGCGTTGAACTTGAATTTACTAGTTGTACACACTTCATAAACTGAGTAAAAAAAAATGTGATAAACCTACATATCTGCGACATTAGACAGTTTAATAATATTTTCTGTATACAAAAGCGAAACTCCCAAGATGACTTTTGGTTGACTCATAAAATATATTTTTTTTTTTATCAAAAAGTGATCACCTCTAATATAATGAAACATTTATTGTGCGCCCTATGTTATGATCAAATAAATCTCTTTAATCAAATATAAGAATTTACTCGCAGAGAATTTTACCCAATGAAAGCTGACTTAGGTATTCAGCGGAAGTTCAGCACTGGGCGGAAGTTAGTAGCGTTTGGTTTCCAACAGCAACGCCAAGGGGAAGACGACACCAATGTTTAATCACCAGGGCCTGCATTAATTAAATAACTAGTGAATACACAATTACTTCGCGTGGAAGGCAGCTTGTATGACAGATACTTATATTTAAAGTTTAATCATGTTGGGAAATAAGGCTGCCACCACAATTGGACCCGAATCGTGGAGAAATTCAACTCTGAAAGGAATTAAACTATCACAAACCATAGTTCAGAAGAGTGATAAAAGTTGTGATGTTGGTAGATCACTGGACCCTCTTCCACACCTTAGAGACACTGTTGCACAACTAAGTAATGATGAGATTCACAGGTATACAAGAGAAGTAAGGGTTATTGTTGCTAAACTCCGTGAAAGTTTACTGGACACAAATGAAGAAATAAAAGCCCTGACTAGGGGTAAAGAGGCTTTGGAAAAGGCATTGGAACACACAAGAAAAGATATTGCTCTGAATAAAGACAGCCAAGAAGTCAGGGTATCTAGACCAGCCAGAGAGAGGGTAAGATATTGCACAAATTTGGATGAAATATATGTGTTTGATAAAAAAAAACCATGCATATTTTTGCTGTAGTATGTAGCATGATACAGTAAAACACTGGTTATACACTGTGTAATTATAGTAGATGTTTTGTTTTTTGGAGAAGTCTGTTTATTTTGATTTTATAAAACAACAAATCCGTTGTCTGTGATACTGTATTGTTACATCAACTGATTAGCATTCAATGAACTCAATCAAGATGTAAGTACATGTATATATTATGGAAGATACAGCCAAACCCTATTATCTCTAACTTGAAGATGGTTGAGAAAAACTTCCAGACATCCAAGGATGTGAGATATTAAGGTTAAAATACTTATAGAAAAAAATGGCTGAGACTTCTAACTCTCTTTCACACACATGGTATTCGAGATGTCAATGTTCAACTGTACATGCAAATTTTATTTAATTTCTTTTTTCCTGTGGATGGAATGTATGCAATACTTGTAATATGTTACAGAACTGTTTCTCTGTTCTCCTTATAAAGTATTTCAGATTTATTCAAATGATTATACATATATGTAGTAAAGTTCTATAAAAAGAATCATAATCAATTTCCACTGATAAAAAAAGATTGGATTAAGACAGGATTGTAGCTGGGACCTAACTTTATATTATGCTATTGACATAATTGATTTTTAATGTTGAAGAATCTAAAGTGTACATTGTTCATCTATGTTTTGTGATTTTGTATTATTCAGCTGTTTCGTCATTGATTTAATTTTCTCTTAGTGTGTCCTATTCATTGATTTAATTTTCTCTAAGTATGTCCTATTCAAACCTGTCATTTTATCCATATTTATAAACAGATTTAACAAACAGCAATATTGATTCAACACCACATTGCAGCCTAGTATGGCAGTTAATTTTAATAGTTGGTTTCATCTTCATTAAATTGATGATGAACTATATCTTCTTTTTTTCTAAATGAAATGTGAAAGATTATGCTAGCCTAGAATATGGCCCACATTAAAATTGAAAAGTTTAAACTGAGGAGATTTTTATTTTTTAATTTCAATCTTTTAAATCAGTTGCATATACATTGTTCAAAGAAGCAATCTGATTAAAATTAAATGAATTTCAATCAAATCATTCAAGATATGCACATTAATGTTTGTGTAAATATCAGAAATCTTAAATCTGATTAAAATGCTTTTGTTACAGCTATTAACACCACTGAACAGCAAAATCAGTTGTCAATCAGACCAGACTGTTCAATCCTGTGAAAATGGATTTTAAATCATACATACACCTTGACTATAAAAACACTATACCACTTGGTAAAATATTTGTTGACATTCATAGGACAGAGTTAATATCTAATACCATTGGATTAAAGATATTGCTTAACTGAGTTTGAAGTTTATTTTATTGAAGTTTCATTTCATTGACGATGACATTTTTTTTAAAACACCTTTTTTTTAACTCTCAAATTTTAAATGGAAAAAAAAACAGTGTATAGGGTTACAAGAAGCTCTGAGAAAGTCTTTTATTGACTCAATATACATGTAATTTGAAGTTCTCACATTAAAGACTTCTTATAATCTTAAAACTCCCTTCCTCTGGCACAGATGAACATTAATTGTTGGCTAATAAAGACATATTCCCATCAAATTGCATAACCCTCAGTGCTTGAAACTTTTTCATATTTACTTTTTCCTTCTTAATTGTAGCAACAGACTAATGCACTTGCGCAGGGCATTGATTAGGCCATAAAAAGACCGAGACAAAACTATGTGTTTGTTTCCCTTTATTGATCCACCGTAATGCTTCATTAAACATTCATTTGGCATATTGCGAAGGATCATAAATAAATATTTCATGGCATTCCAGTATTATATTTTTGTGTTTTAGCTTAACATATAAACTAAATGCCCAGAAAATCAATATAGCTAGCACATTTAATTAAAAGATCTGTAACTAAAAGAACAATAAACATGCTTTAACTTTCTTTACTATGTATATATTTTGAAAACTGGAGAAAATGTAATCAAATCATTTTAATGCGCTGTATTTTTATACATGTATAAATATAGACAAAATATCTATGTTTCATGCATTAGTAATTGGACCCCCTAGTGCACTTTAAAAAGCCCCATTCATAGTACCGGTAGAATAATATGGTTGACATTTATACTCTGGTTTAGGTTTATAATTTTGACACAGATCTTTTTTGTTTTAAAACAATCTAAACATATTCAAATTACTGCAAGTAAATAAGTACACTGGGGTCCTCTGGATTAGATTAAAAACTACAAATATGAGTATAAACTTAGTTTAACACATATTTTCAGTATTCATCAATGGTAAATGATGTTTTATAAATCAGTGTTACATTTAAAAAGTAATTTAATTACCCCGGTAAATCAAAAGTCCAAAATCTGCATATAACTCTTGATCTCCAGAATGGGAGAGGTTGTAAAATATTTTTTTTTACAAATTTTTATTTTTGAAAAAAAAATATTTTTTAGAGGTTGCTAAATACTTTTTAGAAATGTGCCTTTACAATATAACTTGGGGGCTAACAAAATATATGTTCAAAAATTGAACTTTCAAGAGCAGACCATTCCTCATTGAAATTGAAAACTCTCCTCATGACTTGGTAATGATATATTAATGTGTATGTAACAATTTCAGCAAGATTTTCTTTGATTCTACAGGAACATGATGGTGCTGATGATTTGTTGAATGCAGAACGTGCCCATTTATTGAACTGTAAAAAAGCTCTTGAGGCCCAGCTTCGCTCTGTTCAGCAGCAACTTCAGGTATGTGCAAGAGTACTGGCTTTACTTTCCTATAAATGAATCTGGTAAAATATCAACATTTTTAACCCCCGGCCAATTTTCCACTGCAGATGATTTTAACCCGTAGTTAAAAAAAATAAAAGAAGAAACCACACACATTGAATGAAATGTACAAATATTTCTCTGTTTTGAGCAAAATTTTCATTTATAATTGACAACAAATTACGAGTATTTTAATATTTCCTTTGTCCTCATTTTGCTTACCTCAAACTACATTGTTAATTGAAACTGCAACTCGATCCGGATTTAAGACATTTTGCATAAGAAATATGTGTTTGTTTATTGCAGGTTTTAGATGCAGCCAGACGTCGCCTATTTAATGTTTTGAATGAGAGATCCCGTGTGATGGACCTGCTGAATCACTCCCTCTCCTCTGCCAGTGCTGGAAGCCAGAGTGCTCCCACAGGATTAGGGAGGAGTCGTACCTCCATGGATGGTCGACTCTCTAGGTTAAATGACCTGTCAGGTAAACTTGGATTCATGTCTCTAGGTAAATCAATTTACAGTGAAAATATAGATGTTGGATGCAGTGGTATCATCAGGCATTTTTTTGATTCATTGTTTTATTGACAAAATGTTGTTTATTAATTAATCAATGATTTTTGTTTGTTTGTTTTTTTTTTAAATATATTCAATGCTTAATTCTTTTTACACTTTGTATTCAATATTGCAAATGTAAATATTATTTTTAATTTTTTCATTAAAAGGTTTTTTTTTTTTTTTTTTTTTTTCTTTTTTTTGTATTTTGATGATTGAAAGGGGAGGGGGTTTTCAAAGAAATGCCTATTCTTATCGTGGGTCAATGGACTGCCTTCATTCTGTGAAAAATTGCACATTTCCATCAGTTTGTGAAATAATATTCATATTTCAATTTGCATCCCAAGGTTTGACTTGTCTCTGAAATGAACATTTTATTTTCAACCTGTTATCACATTAACAACTATATGACTGAGTCATTCAAGTGAGACAAAAATTATGCCTGCTCTACCCATAACATTCTACTTTACTCCTTAATCTGGATCTTGCATATGATTTTCTGCAGAGTGGTGTGATGCATGTTTTTTTTTCTTTTAATAATTTCTAACATTTTATTTAAATATTTAACAGACTGCCAACTCACTAAAATATTTCTCTCTTGACAGATTCATAATACATGTAATGATAATAATATACCTGTATTCACTTTTTATTTGTAATACCAATAAATGAAATTTCACTTAGTCTTAATAATTAATTTAAATCTTATTAATTCTTATTTTTGAATACCACTATACACAGATATTAGCCCAGTAATTTACTAGTTAGAATATTTACACAATTCTAACAAAGAGATATGCCAATACTAAACAAAATCTGTATGAATATACCCCTATTTGCCTTAATTCATTAATTCTTACCAAAATGACTAAAATTAACTAAAAGATAGAAAACAAACAAACAATGACCCATTAATAAGTTAATTATGACATTTTATGGACGTGTATAATGGTTCAAACCTTTCTCTGACATTTCAGGTCAGCCAGACCCCCTTGGGCCATACACTCCTGAGGCTGACCAAGCCCTTGTGGATGCCCAGGAGGCCCGGGCCCGCTCTGCTTACCTCAGACGTGAGTTGAAGGATGCCATAGATAGAACTGAAAAACTACAGAAAGCTGCCCACAAGTCTGTTAATGATGGGCTTACACAGAAAGTGGCAGAAACCATCACTCTCAAGGTCAGTCTCTGGTGGTAAAAAGAGATAAAAAGGAATCAAGTACAGTGATTTTAAAGAATATGAACGAATTTCTAAAACCTAGTTTAATTTTTCAATTTGAATAATTGTAGAAAAATATATCTAAATCTTAAATATCTCCATTCATATTTTTCTGCATATTTTGTTCTAGCAACACCTTGGGGTTGGTCTGGGAGAGAATCGTCATGGTATCCATCGTGCCCAGAGATGGTACGATGCCACAGACAAGGCTAGAGGATACACTATGGTAATTGAAAATCATATAGTACTAATACTTGTTACAATCACAATCAAAGACAGGTTTGGGAAAATACTCCACATTGATCATTGATTAAATTAATATTTTTATCATAATACCAAATCTTTGCACTTGTTTATTGCAAGGGCATAAAATTTAAAAAGAGGATAAAATAGGAGATGTGTGCAAATACTTCAAGATTTCACTTATATGAAAAATTTGACATGCATTATCAAAAGAAAATATACCTCTTTTCGTTGCTTAATTATTCTAGGGTCCAGTTGCATATTCTGATATTGCAACACGTGAGCGTTTGGATCGTCCAATGGTCAAGGTGTTCCAGAGACACCCAGGAACTCAATTGCCTGAGGCTCAGGAAATTATCAGGGTAAGGGCCATAACTGTAGCAGTGTCAACTGGAAAAATATTGAAATGAAAACGTTAGCTATCTTACAGATTTCACCAAACAAATATGGAAGACAGAAGTTGCATACAAATTATTTATGGATTTCAATGTTAGAATATTTTGTATAAATATTTTTATTGATTTCAATTTAAGAGTGGAGATGGCCTGCTTCAATCTCTGTCTGCCACAAGTCGCAACATCGGTCTCCTGAAACTTTCACAACTCCGCCTCCGAAACGACATCAAAGGAAAAGCCATGGCTTCCTCCGTGGACGGCAGTATCATCCGCCTCCGTCGCAGAAAATCGGACCATCGATGGACTCTGGGAGAGGCATTCTAACAATTGGGTTATCTGATTTCGAAATTTTATATGAACTCTTGTGTCTTTATGTCTTCAGCAATCTTGTTGATGCAAATTACAGTAATGTTTCAGTATTTAAACTGAAATTTAAGTTTCTATGTCTGATCATGTGCACTATAAATTGAATTTTTTAAAAATTTTGATATTGTCTACATAGCTTTTGTGACTTGGAAAGCAAGCACTTGATGATCGAGCCAGTGCATTAGTAGTTTGATATGTTTTCAATCTGGGTAAATCTGTATGTAAACATAGTGATCATGTTTGCTTGAAGCAATAATAAAACAATGTAGAAATCAGTATTATATAAATGCAACAAGTTATTTATAAAAGCTTTTTTTTTTTGCATGTACTCAAGATAGATTTTTGGTAGTTTACATTTTAATAGCTAGTGGTCTTCTCGTGTTTTGAATTTCTAGGAGGAGATTTAATCAGCATGTACATTGTTTGATTCCTGCATAAGTCAGCGATTTGGTAGTATTGAAACAGAATCTATTTTTCACTGAGGAAATGCTACTCATCAGAGTATTTTGAAACAGTATTATTATATATTTTTATGCAAATTTTGCTCAACATTGGTGCATTAGTACCAGAGCTACAACTTCTGATGGTTTGTCTACAAACCCCTGTCTACTGCTCTTTGTTGCTTTGTTTAGCATCAAAAATTCACTGTGATACATGTATTTGTTTTTTTGTTTATATATTTTATATAATTGTTAAACATAATTTATTGCATTGCATTTTCTTTTCTGCGTCACATTATATTCTTATATGATTAAGTATTTAATTCTTTTTTTGAGTGAAATTACACATTTGATGGAAATACTAGTATACAATTAATTAACATTTAATTCTTTTACAGAATTAACTTGTACAAACTCCAGAAAAAGCATGACTTGCCATTGTGTTTTCTAACACCATTCTTTGCTTACGACCATGTCATTTCATATATTCTATAAATATGTTCATTGTTGTTTAAATAAAAATATGGAAAAGGTTTAAAATCTAGCAGAGGTTGAACACATCATAATTCTCACTGCACAGTATTGTTAATGTTTACATGAGTGCTATAAAAAAAATGATAAAATTTCATACTTTGTCGTTTTTTTTTTCTGTGGAAAGAGAAATAAACATGATATACTGCTGCCTAGTTTTCTGCAGCCGTTCCCTCATTATTACTGAAAATGCTTGTATTACTATTAATACAATTTACTTTTTATACCTTTATCTTGATATCTGAAGCAAAGTCTTCTCAAGTATAAAGAATGAAGGCGTGCAAGGCGTGGACGATCCCCCGCTCTGAGAGAAGACATTTTTCATTTCTAAAAGTTCATGAAAAGTTATATTTTTCAAAATTATATTGTCAATATAATCTTTTACACATTTGTTTCCTATATTTTGTTAAATAAATTATTGACAAATAATTTATTTTTCACTAATGTTTTTAAGGTATGTGAAAAAGAAAAAAAAAAGCTTCACACATGATTCGAACTCTCTCCAAAGTTCATGGTTAGGTGCAAGACTGAACGTGTTAACCACTACGCTACAAAGTCTGCTTGTCTTATTTGATGTCAGTGTGATTTAATTAAATAAACGAGTTTGCTGAAGCGTAAATTTTTTTTCAGAAATGTTTGATTTTCATATAGAATGGGTTAAGACTCCATTTTTTTTGAAACGTGAAATAGATTTTACATTTACTTTTCCGTCATATAAATGGAGACATGACCCATTCCTATTCAAAAATCATTTTTTATGGCTCTAATAAACCAGTTTTCCACTAAATATGCTTCAATGTCAACTTTAAAAACAAATTATCAATCAAAAAGTCATTCAATAAAATAATTGAATCAAATTTGTTGAAGATTACATTACGGAAAACATTATTTTAGAAAAATATAACTTTTCCGTGAACTTTGAAAATTGAAAAATATATTGTCCCAGAGCGGGAGATTGTCCTCGCCTTGTACACCCCCCTTTCTTTATAACGCACAATGTTCTCGACAATAACAAATTTCTACGGTGGAAAATTGTTATTCAACACTTCACCTCAACTGTCTAAAGCCATGCCTGTTGAGAACAGACGGAGAAACAAATGGCCTTATGAATATTATTCTCCCTTCTTAAATCTCACTGGAACATACAAAATTACCAAACAATTTCAGAAATATTTCATAATTTATTCCTTTGACTTCAATATATTACTTTAAATGAGTGAGGGTGAATTACATACAACAGGTTATCACATCATTTTAAAAGTTTTGCACTGACTATACTGTATATTAATACAATTTTTTCTTCTAGAAGCAATTAGTAGTAACCATCTTAGTCATAAAGTTTTGGTACTGAGTTACAGATTGTGGAAGGGAAGAGATTATGTGGACTAAACAAATCAGTTAAATAATAAATCAAACTGCCTGGAAGTTAAATTTTTTGTACAAGATTATACCAAGAACAAAACAGAATCTGATTTCTTGATAATGGACTTTATAAATACATTAATGATCAATCACTTTCATGGAAGGTATTTGTTTCTTCTGATGGTAAATATGTTCATCAGAAAGGGTTAAGTTTCAATGAAAAAAGAATAGCACTTGCAGTAAATGCACAATCATAAAATACAGCACTTGGTTTGGAAAATTGAAAAGTAATTTTAACACCCAAATACCAAATAAACAATGAATCATTAATTTGAAGTTCAGATAATATAAAATACATTTCAAATGTGTATTTTTACTTTAGACCAAAACAAATCAAGCAGAGATATGTAATGTGAATTACTTTAAAAATTCTTCTCAATATCACAAAAAGCATAAAAAATAAAGACACATATACAAACTATGCTAGAAAGACAATGTGGATATACATGCTACATAAAATTTACATGGCTATTGTATTTACAAGAGATGTACATCTGTTCCATCAAAGCAGTCTGAGCAGTTTTTTCTATAAGAATTTACAGTAATTTTAAGTTAATATATGGGCCTGCCCTTATGACGTGAATTTTATTCCATAAATTAAATGTAATTCACTTGTAAATTAATTCAATTTTATTTCAAGGAAAATAAGTTTTCCAGTAAGCTACAAAAATTTACATTTTTAAGTGACTTGGCAACATTTCCTTGCTGATTGAAAAACTAAGAAAAGTGTGTGTGTCCATTCTAGAAAAAAAGGTTATGTAGTGCTTCATCTAAAGCAAAAACAGCATGCATGATGTCAGAGCATTGTGTTGGACAGCCCCACTAATACCGCCTTCTCTTGATCAATTGCTTTGCATGTGTTTCTGTTAAACTATTGTCAAAATACAAAACTCTTCCCATTTTCCACAAAACTGGCTGTTATATATTTATAGCAACAACATATCTAAATACTCAAGTATTTATTACTGGTATTCCTGGAAAAACTTATTTCAAATCTCGAGGTCCAAGATGACAAAAGGGATCAACACATTGCAATGGAAAATATTTTGTCAATATTTAAGTAACTACTTGTAAAAATGCAATAAAATATGACTTGATCTTAAATTTATTCTGCTTCATTTCTTTCTGAGCTAAATTATAATCCAAGGACAATAAAATTTTACCTTTTGAAAATAGATTCATTAAACCCTTTCTGAAAAAGCCACAGACATTTTCTTTACAAAATCAAAAATTGTCTTTTCAATAGATTTACAATCAACAACATCTGATATTTTTTCTTTACATTTTTGCACCATCAACTTCCTTAACTCATAACACAGGGTAATAGTAATAGCAATCTAGAAATTTTCTCTGACCCTGTAATGTAAAAATGGTCTGTTGATATTAATGAACAAGTTCAGATAATGCCAAACCAGTACCAATCTTTATGAAGATATAACTTACCAAAGTCTCTATTGTAATCAATTTACTGATCATTTCATATTATATCTAATGAATCTGTGGTAATTTGTTTTTCTTATATACATGTGCATATTCATTTCTATCCAATGAAGAAAAAACAAATGGATTCCATAACATACAAGTTTTTCATGGTATTCTTCTCTATTGCTCAAAAAGCTTCATAACTACTAGTTGCTGCAACAACAAAAATATCATTCTGTATGCATGAAGTGCATTCTCTTTTCAGATCCTACATTTACCACCATCAACTGTGAATGTTGTAACTAAGTTTTTGATGTGCAACAGCAGAGGAAATACATACACATATACACAAAATATTTGATATAAGTTAACAAAACAATAACATTAACATAACAATCACATCATCGCTATCAATTGACTTCAATCTATAAACTCCACAACAGAGATTTTGACATGTTTTCTCACTCTGTTACAGGAAATCCCCGCCCCTTTCACACATTGTCACACAGTATTCAATCATTCCAGGTCCCAAAATAAAACACAATTTAAATATGACCTCATGTTCATTTTAAAATGAATAGTAGTCAATGCATGTGTTCAATGATCAAAATCATTCCACCAGAAAAAAAGAGAAAAAAAAATATTGCACCATGTATATACATGTATATCATTGATAAAGGTACCATATAATAATAATTGCTTCATGTGATCAGTTATTTTTTTTTTAAATAGATTTATACATAGGTTGTTATAAAATACAGTACTCCTAATTCCATAACAAACCTCCTTTAAGGACAAATTCTACAGACAAGAATCTCATAACTCCTCAAGATGATCCTACACCTTGGTGCCTGGAGAAGAGAATAATTTTGATCAAAAGAACAAACGCTGCACACATCCTTGGAATGAATACACAGTTTTCTGCCCATCTTAGACAGAGGCAGGGTCATCAACAGGCACAACCCTTATCAATTGGGGCTTGGTCTGTGTTTATGGGATTTCTGGGCGTAGCTGGCTTGTGCTGCACACCTGACTCGGCTGCATTCAAGTCCAAACTGTAAAAAAAGAATTAATGTATGAATTTTGGTTCAATAGCACACACCCTCACACATATTTTACCCCAATGTGCATTCTTAAATTTATTTTATACAATACACATAAAAAAATATTACTCCAAAATATTGACCAAGAGATTTTTTGCTGTCAAATGAATAATCATTTTTAGGGGTAATAAAGTGCACCTGTATAAATTTAGACAACAGCAATTGCTGTAATGCAGAACTTAGTTTCCAGCTTGTTACTAGTCTACAATCAAAGCTGTCACAGAAAACACTGTACAATAACTTTGTATGACAGCATTAGTTGTTGACTTATCTTTTTCTATCTTAAATCTGTATAGGTGACTATTCATGACTATTCATCAACCAAAGCATCTTTGTAACTGGCCAACAAACAAAGGTACATGTATCTAATCAAATTGCAAACCACAATATTACATAAGAAGAGGTTCATGGGCCACAATGCTCACCTGAGTCACTATGGTCCTGCTGTTCTTCATCATCAGAATTTTTTCCTTTATATTCCTATATGACTAATCATGACTTCCCTATTCTTGACAAGATTTTTAAAGATTTTTTCACTATATATTCATATGTAAAAATTCGATCGCCCATGGTGGCCCCAACTTAGCCCCTGGGGTCATGATTTGAGCAAAATTGAATCCATACTGTCTGAGGATGCATCCATATAAATATGACTTAACATGGCTTTTCTGTTTTTTGAAAATAAGATTCTTAAAGATTTTCCTATAAAACGTTGATTGCCCATTTTGGCCCCAACCTAAGCCATGGGGTCATAACAAACTTGAATCTACACTATATAATAAAGTTTTTTACATTAATTTCAACTTTTCTGGTTAAATGGTTCTTGAGAAGAAGATTTTTGAAAGACACAATTGACTTTCATTGATTCTTAACTACTTCCTTTAGAAAGAGGGCATATCCCTTTACTTGAATAAACTTGAATCCCATTCACCTAAGGATGCTTTATCGAAATTGGTCCAGTGGTTCTGGGGAAGAAGTCAAAATGTAAAAAAATCATAAACATATTTCTTTCAGAAACATACTGCTCAGGTAAACTAAAATCTCACACTCCAGGACAACTACACTTGTCTATCAAACTCAACTTCCATCTCAATAACTAGTCAAGGACTAATGCTGTCTTACACAACTCACCTTCCATCTCTATAACTAGTCAAGGACTAATGCTGTCTTACACGACTCACCTTACATCTCTATAATTAGTCAAGGACTAATGCTGTCTTACACAACTCACCTTCCATCTCTATAACTAGTCAAGGACTAATGCTGTTTTACACAACTCACCTTCCATCTCTATAATAAGTCAAAGACTAATGCTGTCTTACACAAATCACCTTCCATCTCTGTAATTAGTCAAGGACTAATGCTGTCTTATACAATTCACCTTCCATCTCAATAACTAGTCAAGGATTAATGCTGTCTTACACAACTCACCTTCCTTCTCAATAACTAGTCAAGGACTAATGTTGTCTTACACAACTCACCTTCCATCTCTATAATAAGTCAAAGACAAATGCTGTCTTACACAAATCACCTTCCATCTCTGTAATTAGTCAAGGACTAATGCTGTCTTATACAATTCACCTTCCATCTCAATAACTAGTCAAGGACTAATGCTGTCTTACACAACTCACCTTCGATCTCAATAACTAGTCAAGAACTAATGCTGTCTTACACAACTCACCTTCCATCTCTATAACTAGTCAAAGTCTTAAGCTGTCTTACACAACTCACCTTCCATTTGTATAACTAGTCAAGGACTAATGCTGTCTTACACAACTCACCTTCCATCTCTATAACTAGTCAAAGACTAATGCTGTCTTACAAAACTCACCTTCCATCTCTATAACTAGTCAAAGTCTTAAGCTGTCTTACACAACTCACCTTCCATTTGTATAACTAGTCAAGGACTAATGCTGTCTTACACAACTCACCTTCCATCTCAATAACTAGTCAAGGACTAATGCTGTCTTACACAACTCACCTTCCATCTCTATAACTAGTCAAAGACTAATGCTGTCTTACAAAACTCACCTTCCATCTCTATAACTAGTCAAAGTCTTAAGCTGTCTTACACAACTCACCTTCCATTTGTATAACTAGTCAAGGACTAATGCTGCCTTACACAACTCACCTTCCATCCTGTATATTCTGGTATATCTTTTTTGCTGTGTCTAAAAATGCATCTTCTACATTGTCACCCCTGCAGAAGAATGATATTATTCATTGAAATGAATGTTCACAAAATAATATTCACAGAATGATTTTTCTGAGGCTTTTTTTAGAAGTTGCCCAAAACTATGTTCAATAATTTTACGACTACAACAGTTATACTTACGTTTTGGCACTACATTCTAAGAACATGAGACCTGAAATAAATTAAACTGTGTTCAAAGATATGACTAAATCATGAGACATCTAAAAAATTTTGCAATACTAAGTTTCAAAATTATATTTGTTGTCCTTTCACTTTCTTAAATTAATGTTAATCAATTGCATTTCTTTTGAACTTAATGTTGCAAGACAAAAGACTGCATTTATTTCAGAGGCATGAAATTCATCCACATAAGCAGATCTTTATTTTTGCCTCTATTCCTTCTCACATATTTAAGCATAATAAACTTCTAACGAATATCAAAGTGTGGTGATCAGCTGGTGTCACCTACAGTGTCTTTAGGCTACCCATTACATTATCTAAGCCCACAATACTGTAAATAGGACTGTCTCTGACAAGAAAGAAACTGCTGGATTGCCCAAAATGCTATAAAGCACAGGGAAACTGATTTAATAATTCAACACCACATAGCCATTTACTTAGGGTACTGTGAGTAGTTTCACAGATTGCATAATGATACTTGCAAAAAAAAAAAAAAAGATTGGAGAATAGTCCAAAAAGGATGATGCATTCCTAGGTCATAGACAACAGTTGTGCCAAGAACAAATTTTCAATATTAATTAGAAATAAATTTATGGCCCATTTTTCTATCAAATTCTTTCACACAGTTTAAGTTAATACTGTAGATTCCTTATTATTCTTGAGTACAAGTTATTAACATAAAATGGCTCTTTAAAGTCAAATCGCGAGAACAAAAATTCACAAGTGAACAGTTGATCAAGAAATTTTACATGGATTTTAGCACTATAAAAATAAAATGAGTAATTTTTCTCTGCGAGTGGTGTTTCTTGTGAAATTACACAACAATTAATTCCTTGTGTATATTTAGGAATCTACAGAATTTATATCAGGGCTATGAAGTGACTCTCTGGTCAGAGGCAACATTTGTGTCCAGAAAAGCCTTTGTTGTTTCTCTGATTCCATTAAAGTTATGACCAAAAACCATTTTCCTCTTTTTTTCTGTTAGTAACCTTGACTTTCTCCAAATGACCTTAGGTAAGGCTCATGTCACATCCTTTGTTTTAAATAAACAATAATATCAACCTAGGTCGGACATAGTTATAAGACAATTTCACTTAGGCAGATGGACAAAAAGACCTCTGTTTGCAAAAAGGAAGGGGGAGCATATGCCTTATTAGCTTTTTAAAGGCTAGATGAAGGTGCAATTCTAATCAATATAATATTAAGATGATTATTGAAAATTTTAAAATTAACAATTTACCAAAACTTGAATATATTCTATATACTGAAAAAATATGTCAAAACTTGCAGTATTTTTTTGGTAGATATAATTACAAAACACACTGACATACCATTTTCATCAGCAAACTGCTTGGCCTCTTCATACGTAACATCTCTTTGAGCTTCTAAATCAGACTTATTACCAATTAAAAATATCACCTACAAAGAAAATATTCACTTTACAAATGAAAGCATTTAAAATTTAACAATTTGATAAACTGTTTTTGTCCCATTATGAATATGCTCTTATTTATTCCGATTGTGGCACTTTAATTAAATGATCTACAAACTCACTGTGTTGGGATTTGTTAAGTTCCTTGCATCAGTTAGCCAACTACTTAAATGGTTGTATGTGCTTCGCCTGTTTTCAAAAAAGAAAAAATAATAATAACTAGATGAGATCTCGTTGCGAGCAACGAGTAGGTCTTCCGTCCGATTTTTCGATGGGATGAGATGTGATTTTGATTAAGTTTACGTTTAAAGATAATGACATAAAGATTTCCCTCCTTAGATTTCATTCTTTTGATTTATATAACATAATCTTGAACATCTTTCATTCAATATTGCTTTTCAAAATGTTTCCGCTTTTCGAGATGAAGTGTAAAAGATTTAACATTCTGGCCACTTATGGCCACAAATTATGCAATAGAGAATCAAAATTTTACAACATATTGTTACGTTAAGCATTTTTGCTTCAGTAATTTATAACAAAATTCTTATTTATTGAAGAGTTATGTATTAAACTTTTGGCCCCTCTGAGCCCCTAATTTGAGGGGTCAGCTCCTTTCTCTTGATATCAAATGAAAGGTCTTGTGATTTTGAAGACTTTTTGTTCGACACCTATTCAGAGATTTCTTTCTGTTGTGGAGATATGCCAAATGGAAATATTTAGGGGCCAACCCTTCAAGTCCTTAATGGGCCCGTTTTGCAAAAATCAAAAGGATGCATATTGTTCAGAACATCTTCCTGAACATCTTTTTTGTTCAATATTGCTTATTAAAATATGCCCCTCTTTGAGATATAAAGCGTCAAAGATTAAGCATTCTGACCCTTATTACGCAACATATGATCTTCTTTTTATAATATATAGTTGCAAATCGTTAAAATAAACATTTTTGCTTCAGTAATGGAAAACAAAATATTGATAGTTAAAGAGTTATAGATGAAAGTTTTTGGCCCCTCTGAGCCCCTAATTTGAGGGGTCAGCTCCTTTTTCTTGATATCAAATGAAAAGACTTGTGATGTTAAACAATTTATGCTCAACAACTATTCAGAAGTTTCCTCTCGTTTTTGAGATATTTAGAATAGAAATATTTAGGGGCCAACCCTTCAAGTCCTTAATGGGTCAGTTTTGAAAAAATTGAAAGGATGCATATTGTTCAGAACATCTATCTGAACATCTTTTTGTTCAATATCGCTTATCAAAATATTCCCCCTTTTCGAGATATTCGAGCGTCAAAGATTTAGCATTCTGGCCCCTTTTGGCCCCTTAATACGCAACATATGATTTTTATTTTATAATATATAGTGGAAATCATTAAAATGAGCATTTCTGCTTCAGTAATTGATAACAAAACATTGATGATTTATTAGTTATAGATGAAAGAATTCTGGCCCCTCTGAGCCCCTGACTTGAGGGGTCAGTTCCTTTTTCTTGATATCAAATGATAGGTCTTGTGATTTTTAAGACTTTTTGTTCAACACCTATTCAGAGATTTCTTTTGGTTGTGGAGATATGCTGAATGGGAAAAATTTTGGGGCCACCCTCAAAGTCCTTAATGGGGCCGTTTGACAAAAATTGAAAGGGTACATATTGTTTAGAACATTATTCTGGCCATCTTTTTTTTCATTATTACTTATCAAAATATTCCCCCTTTTCGAGATATTCGAGCGTCAAAGATTTAGCATTCTGGCCCCTTTTGGCCCCTTAATACGCAACATATGATTTTTATTTTATAATATATAGTGGAAATCATTAAAATGAGCATTTCTGCTTCAGTAATTGATAACAAAATATTGATAATTTATGAGTTATAAATGAAAGACTTCTGGCCCCTCTGAGCCCCTGATTTGAGGGGTCAGCCCCTTTTCCTTGATATCAAATGAAAGGTCTTGTGATTTTGAAGACTTTTTGTTCAACAACTATTCAGAGATTTCTTTTCGTTGTGGAGATATGCTGAATGGAAATATTTAGGGGCCACCCCTCCAATTCCTTAATGGGGCCGTTTTACAAAAATTGAGAGAGTGCAAATTGTTTAGAACATTATTCTGAACATCTTTTGTTCAGTATTGCTTATCAAAATATTCTCTCTTTTTGAGATATTAAGCTTCAAAGATTTAATACTCTGGCCCCTTATTGCCCTTTATTACGTAATATATGATCCCAATTTTATACTCTATTGTTGCAAATTGTTAAGATAAACATTTTTGTTTCAGTAATTGATAACAAAATATTGATCGTTAAAGAGTTGTATATGAAAGACTTTTGGCCCCTCTGAGCCCCTAATATGAGGAATCAGCCCCTTTTTCATGATGTCAAATGAAAGCACTTATAATTCTGCACAACTTTTGTTATATATGTTTTAACAAAATATATACAGGTATAAAGATATGATAGAAAACTTGTCAAATTTTGCGAGATACTTATGAGCCTATTTTTCGAGCCCAGGCGAGCTTTGGCGCCTTTTGCGCTGGAAAGATATGGACGCAAAAAAGCACATCTACAATCCCTCCTCTACCTTCACTGAAAATCTCAACTCAATATCTTAAGTCGTTTTGGAGTGATTACCAGGACAAGCCGACCCTCTGAAAATCAGATAATTGTCTATATCTCACGACCGGAAGTGACGTCATCAATATAAAAAATTTCCAATAAGGTTCAGATCAATATCTATCAGATCTGAAAGATTCGTGAAAATCGACTGAGCCGTTTCCGAGAACTCGCGTGCACAAAATCGGTAAGAAAAAAAAAGAATAATAATAATAACTAGATGAGATCTCGTTGCGAGCAACGAGTAGGTCTTCCGTCCGATTTTTCGATGAGATATGATTTTGACTATGATCTTTGTTAAAAGATAATAATATATAGACTTCCCTAATTAGATTTCATTCTTTTGATTTATATGTCATTATCAAAGAGCTATAGATGACATGCTTTTGGCCCCTCTGAGCCCCTAATTTGAGGGGTCAGCCCCTTTTTCTTGACATCAAATGAAAAGTCTTGTGATTTTGAACATTTTTTGTTCAACAACTATTCAGAGATTTCTTTTCGTTGTGGAGATATGCTGAATGGAAATATTTAGGGGCCACCCCTCCAAGTCCTTAATGGGGCCGTTTGACAAAAATTGAAAGGGTGCATATTGTTTAGAACATTATTCTGACCATCTTTTGTTCAGTATTGCCTATCAAAATATTCCCCCTTTTTGAGATATAAAGCGTCAAAGATTTAGCATTCTGGCCCCTTGTGATCCCTTATTACGTAACATATGATCAGAATCTTATCATATATTGTTGTAAATCGTTAAGATAAACATCTTTGCTTCAGTAATGTGTTACAAATTATTGATCGTTGAAGAGTTATAGATGAAAGACTTTTGGCCCCTCTGAGCCCCTAATTTGAGGGGTCAGCCCCTTTTTCTTGACATCAAATGAAAAGTCTTGTGATTTTGAACATTTTTTGTTCAACAACTATTCAGAGATTTCTTTTCGTTGTGGAGATATGCTGAATGGAAATATTTAGGGGCCACCCCTCCAAGTCCTTAATGGGGCCGTTTGACAAAAATTGAAAGGGTGCATATTGTTTAGAACATTATTCTGACCATCTTTTGTTCAGTATTGCTTATCAAAATATTCCCCCTTTTCGAGATATAAAGCGTCAAAGATTTAGCATTCTGGCCCCTTGTGATCCCTTATTACGTAACATATGATCAGAATCTTATCATATATTGTTGTAAATCGTTAAGATAAACATCTTTGCTTTAGTAATGTGTTACAAATTATTGATCGTTGAAGAGTTATAGATGAAAGACTTTTGGCCCCTCTGAGCCCCTAATTTGAGGGGTCAGTCCCTTTTTCTTGACATCAAATGAAAAGTCTTGTGATTTTGAACATTTTTTGTTCAACAACTATTCAGAGATTTCTTTTCGTTGTGGAGATATGTTGAATGGAAATATTTAGGGGCCACCCCTCCAAGTCCTTAATGGGGCCGTTTGACAAAAATTGAAAGAGTGCATATTGTTTAGAACATTATTCTGACCATCTTTTGTTCAGTATTGCTTATCAAAATATTCCCCCTTTTCGAGATATAAAGCGTCAAAGATTTAGCATTCTGGCCCCTTGTGATCCCTTATTACGTAACATATGATCAAAATCTTATCATATATTGTTGTAAATTGTTAAGATAAACATTTTTGCTTCAGTAATGTATAACAAAATATTGATCGTTAAAGAGTTATAGATGAAAGACTTTTGGCCCCTCTGAGCCCCTTACTTGAGGGGTCAGCCCCTTTTTCTTGATATCAAATGAAAGCACTTATCATTCTGCACAACTTTTGTGATAAATGTTTTAACAAAATATTTACAGGTATAAAGATATGATAGAAAACTTGTCAAATTTTGCGAGATCCTTGTGAGCCTATTTTTCGAGCCCAGGCGAGCTTTGGCGCCTTTTGCGCTGGAAAGTTTTGGGCGCAAAAAAGCACATCTACAATCCCTCCTCTACCTTCACTGAGAATCTCAACTCAATATCTTTATTCGTTTTGGAGTGATTACCAGGACAAGCCGACCCTCTGAAAATCAGATAATTGTCTATATCTCACGACCGGAAGTGACGTCATCAATATAAAAAATTTCCAATAAGGTTCAGATCAATATCTATCAGATCTGAAAGTTTCATGAAAATCGACCAAGTAGTTTCCGAGAATTCGCGTGCACAAAATCGGTAAGAAAAAAAAAGAATAATAATAATAACTAGATGAGATCTCGTTGCGAGCAACGAGTAGGTCTTCCGTCTGATTTTTCGATGAGATGAGATGTGATTTTGATTAAGTTTTCGTTAAAAGATAATGATATAAAGATTTCCCTCCTTGGATTTCATTCTTTAGATTTATATAATTTATCTTGAATATCTTTCGCTCAATATTGCTTTTCAAAATGTTTCCCCTTTTCGAGATGTGAAGCGTAAAAGATTTAACATTCTGGCCACTTATGACCCCTAATTACGCAATAGAGAATCAAAATTTTACAACATATTGTTGCATATTGTTATGTTAAGCATTTTTGCTTCAGTAATTTATAACACATTCTTGATCGTTGAAGAGTAAAATATTAGTTTTTGGCCCCTCTGAGCCCCTAATTTGAGGG